ATCTCTACTACGAAACGAACCTAAGAACTCTATTCAGTTCTGTATATATAATGATCTTTTAACCAATACTCTCTCTTTTCTTTTTTAATAAATCTTAGTTTAGTTAATAAGAATGGTCTGTAAGCATGTATTTGGGTAAGATCTGATATATTCATTAACTAGGTGGGTAATATGTCTGATCCTTTGGGATTGGTAGAACTTTTTATGTGATGAACAAGATTTTCAGTAATGCTCCTCATATCTGAGTTCGCTGTTTGGGAGGAAGCCCAAGGCTGGGTTGCTTTAAGGGAACTGTGTTTTTGGCTTCTGGGTAACCAGTAAGGTATTGTAGAAACTGACTTGTTGCTGGCTTGGTAAACCTAAGTATACGAATAACCACCAATTTTGGTGGGTCTGCAATCTATATACATGCTGTAGATACACTTATTTTTGTTTAGGCAGTTTGAACCTAGAATATCCTCACCCAGTTATAGCTCTTGGGTGTACCTCATTGCTCTACACCTCAAATTACATTCTGTTTAGTTTAACCTACTAAACTGCCCTCTTCACCATCCGTCCTGCTAGTCATCCCTGCATACCACTGCTCAGGGTATGTACGTGTGCTTTCTAACGTTAGATGCAACACACCAAACAAGAATTAAAATCTTCACCATCATGTTGCCTATGGCATGTCATGCAATGAGATGCCATGATGCCTTCTGCCACACTACAGATGGCACCAAACCAAAGCTAATCTCTTCCATCTAAGTGCCTAATTTGGGAGCGAAGGGGGGCAGGCTGTCTTCCTGCCTACCTACATTTCTGAAACAAAATTGATGCTGAAGAACCTCAAGGTTTTGCATGCAGCCTTGTTACATGAAGATCACCCCAAGCTGTTAAACAGCTTCAAGGGGACATCAGAATACAGTGTTTCTGTGGCGTTTTGACATTATATAATGCTATGATGTCATAACTTTTGTGCTGTGGCATAAACATCACAGCATTGATCTGAGCTAATTATAGGCTAAGGCCACAATTTTTCAACATGGCTGCCTAAAGCTAGGCACCTAAATCTATATTTGGGAGCAGTAGATGGTCAGCAGCTGTGGAAATTCGGTCTACTTTTAGGTGCCTAACTTTGGGCAGCCATGTTTGAAATTTCTGACCTTTAATCCATTGCTGGGTGGCTCTAGACCAGGGGTGGGCAAACTTTGTGGCCTGAGGGCCACATTGGGGTTCTGAAAGGGCTGTGTAGGGAAGGCTGTACCTCCCCAAACGGCCTGGCCCATGCCCCCTATCCGCCCCCTCCCACTTCCTGCCCCCTGACTGCCCCCTCAGAACCTCCGGCCCATCCAACCCCCCCTGCTCCTTGTCCTCTGACCACCCCCTCCTGGGACCTCCCATCCCTAACCGCCCCCCCGGGACCCCTCCTCCTATCCAACCCCCCCGCTCCCTGCCGCCTGACTACCCTGCCCCCTGTCCACACCCCTGCCCCCTGACAGCTCCCCCCTGGGACTCCCACGCCTATCCAACCGCCCCCTGCTCCCGGTCCTCTGACTGCCTCCCGGAACCCTCTGCCCTTTATCCAACCCCCCCCGCTCCCCGCCCCCTTACCATGCCTCTCAGAGCTGCAGGACTGGTAGCCGCACTGCCCGGCTGGAGCTCGCAGTCCTGCCACCCACAGCACTGGCGGCAAGGCGAGCTGAGAGTGCGGGGGAGGAGGGACAGCAGGGGAGGGGCCAGGGGCTAGCCTCCCAGGCCAGGAGCTCAAGGGCTGGTCAGGCTGGATATGGCCCATGGGCCGTAGTTTGCCCACCTCTGCTCTAGACAAGCCTGCAATTCATGCAGCTAACGTATTTTTATAAGTGTCCTTTAGGTGCTTTTGTTCATCTCCTTAGGGTATGTCTACACTACGGAATAAGGTTGAATTTATAGAAGTCGGTTTTTTAGAAATCGGTTTTATATATTCGAGTGTGTGTGTCCCCACAGAAAATGCTCTAAGTGCATTAAGTGCATTAACTCGGCGGAGCGCTTCCACAATACCGAGGCTAGAGTCAACTTCCGGAGCGTTGCACTGTGGGTAGCTATCCCACAGTTCCCGCAGTCTCCGCTGCCCATTGGAATTCTGGGTTGAGATCCCAATGCCTGATGGGGCTAAAACATTGTCGCGGGTGGTTCTGGGTACATATCGTCAGGCCCCCGTTCCCTCCCTCCCTCCGTGAAAGCAAGGGCAGACAATCATTTCGTGCCTTTTTTCCTGAGTTACCTGTGCAGACGCCATACCACTGCAAGCATGGAGCCCGCTCAGGTAACCGTCACCCTATGTCTCCTGGGTGCTGGCAGACGTGGTACGGCATTGCTACACAGTAGCAGCAACCCCTTGCCTTGTGGCAGCAGACGGTACAGTACGACTGGTAGCCGTCATCGTCATGTCCGAGGTGCTCCTGGCCACGTCAGCTGGGAGCGCCTGGACAGACATGGGTGCAGGGACTAAATTTGGAGTGACTTGACCAGGTCATTCTCTTTAGTCCTGCCTGCAGTCAGTCCTATTGAACCGTCTTATGGTGAGCGGGCAGGCGATACGGACTGCTAGCAGTCGTACTGTACCATCTTCTGCCGAGCAGCCATGAGATGTGGATGGCATGCAGTCCTTCTGCACCGTCTGCTGCCAGCCAAAGATGTAAAAGATAGATGGAGTGGATCAAAACAAGAAATAGACCAGATTTGTTTTGTACTCATTTGCTTCCCCCCCTTCCCTGTCTAGGGGACTCATTCTTCTAGATCACACTGCAGTCACTCACAGAGAAGGTGCAGCGAGGTAAATCTAGCCATGTATCAATCAGAGGCCAGGCTAACCTTCTTGTTCCAATAAGGACAATAACTTAGGTGCACCATTTCTTATTGGAACCCTCCGTGAAGTCCGGCCTGAAATACTCCTAGATGTAAAGCCACCCCCTTTGTTGATTTTAGCTCCCTGAAGCCAACCTTGTAAGCCGTGTCGTCAGTCGCCCCTCCCTCCGTCAGAGCAACGGCAGACAATCGTTCCGCGCCTTTTTTCTGTGTGGATGCCATACCAAGGCAAGCATGGAGGCCGCTCAGCTCACTTTGGCAATTAGGAGCACATTAAACACCACACGCATTATCCAGCAGTATATGCAGCACCAGAACCTGGCAAAGCGATACCGGGCGAGGAGGCGACGTCAGCGCGGTCCCGTGAGTGATCAGGACATGGACACAGATTTCTCTGAAAGCATGGGCCCTGCCAATGCATGCATCATGGTGCTAATGGGGCAGGTTCATGCTGTGGAACGCCGATTCTGGGCTCGGGAAACAAGCACAGACTGGTGGGACCACATAGTGTTGCAGGTCTGGGACGATTCCCAGTGGCTGCGAAACTTTCGCATGCGTAAGGGCACTTTCATGGAACTTTGTGACTTGCTTTCCCCTGCCCTGAGGCGCATGAATACCAAGATGAGAGCAGCCCTCACAGTTGAGAAGCGAGTGGCGATAGCCCTGTGGAAGCTTGCAACGCCAGACAGCTACCGGTCAGTTGGGAATCAATTTGGAGTGGGCAAATCTACTGTTGGGGCTGCTGTGATGCAAGTAGCCCACGCAATCAAAGATCTGCTGATATCAAGGGTAGTGACCCTGGGAAATGTGCAGGTCATAGTGGATGGCTTTGCTGCAATGGGATTCCCTAACTGTGGTGGGGCTATAGACGGAACCCATATCCCTATCTTGGCACCGGAGCACCAAGCCGCCGAGTACATAAACCGCAAGGGGTACTTTTCGATAGTGCTGCAAGCTCTGGTGGATCACAAGGGACGTTTCACCAACATCAACGTGGGATGGCCGGGAAAGGTGCATGATGCTCGCATCTTCAGGAACTCTGGTCTGTTTCAAAAGCTGCAGGAAGGGACTTTATTCCCAGACCAGAAAATAACTGTTAGGGATGTTGAAATGCCTATATGTATCCTTGGGGACCCAGCCTACCCCTTAATGCCATGGCTCATGAAGCCGTACACAGGCAGCCTGGACAGTAGTCAGGAGCTGTTCAACTACAGGCTGAGCAAGTGCAGAATGGTGGTAGAATGTGCATTTGGACGTTTAAAGGCGCGCTGGCGCAGTTTACTGACTCGCTTAGACCTCAGCGAAACCAATATTCCCACTGTTATTACTGCTTGCTGTGTGTTCCACAATATCTGTGAGAGTAAGGGGGAGACGTTTATGGCAGGGTGGGAGGTTAAGGCAAATCGCCTGGCTGCTGGTTACGCGCAGCCAGACACCAGGGCGGTTAGAAGAGCACAGGAGGGCACGGTACGCATCAGAGAAGCTTTGAAAACCAGTTTCATGACTGGCCAGGCTACGGTGTGAAAGTTCTGTTTGTTTCTCCTTGATGAAACCCCCCGCCCCTTGGTTCACTCTACTTCCCTGTAAGCTAACCACCCGCCCCTCCTCCCTTCAATCACCGCTTGCAGAGACAATAAAGTCATTGTTGCTTCACATTCATGCATTCTTTATTCATTCATCACACAAATAGGGGGATGACTACCAAGGTATCCCAGGAGGGGTGGTGGAGGAGGGAAGGAAAATGCCACACAGCACTTTAAGCACAGCACTTTAAAAGTTTACAACTTTAAAATTTATTGAATGACAGCCTTCTTTTTTTTGGGCAATCCTCTGTGGTGGAGTGACTGGTTGGCCGGAGGCCCCCCCACCGCGTTCTTGGGCGTCTGGATGTGGAGGCTATGGAACTTGGGGAGGAGGGTGGTTGGTTACAGAGGGGCTGCAGTGGCAGTCTGTGCTCCAGCTGCCTTTGCTGCAGCTCAACCATACACTGGAGCATACTGGTTTGGTCCTGCAGCAGCCTCAGCATTGAATCCTGCCTCCTCTCATCACGCTGCCGCCACCTTTGAGCTTCAGCCCTGTCTTCAGCCCGCCACTTACTCTCTTCAGCCCGCCACCTCTCCTCCCGGTCATTTTGTGCTTTCCTGCACTCTGACATTATTTGCCTCCACGCATTCGTCTGTGCTCTGTCAGTGTGGGAGGACAGCATGAGCTCGGAGAACATTTCATCGCGAGTGCGTTTTTTTTTTCTTTCTAAGCTTCACTAGCCTCTGGGAAGGAGAAGATCCTGTGATCATTGAAACACATGCAGCTGGTGGAGAAAAAAAAAGGGACAGCGGTATTTAAAAAGACACATTTTATAAAACAGTGGCTACACTCTTTCAGGGTAAACCTTGCTGTTAACATTACATACATAGCACATGTGCTTTCGTTACAAGGTCGCATTTTGCCTCCTCCCACCGCGTGTCTACCCCCTCAACCTTCCCCCCTCCCTGTGGCTAACAGCGGGGAACATTTCTGTTTAGCCACAGGCAAACAGCCCAGCAGGAATGGGCTCCTCTGAGTGTCCCCTGAAGAAAAGCACTCTATTTCAACCAGGTGACCATGAATTATATCTCACTCTCCTGAGGATAACACAGAGAGATAAAGAACGGATGTTGTTTGAATGCCAGCAAACATACACTGCAATGCTTTGTTCTACAATGATTCCCGAGTACGTGTTACTGGCCTGGAGTGGTAAAGTGTCCTACCATGAAGGACGCAATAAGGCTGCCCTCCCCAGAAACCTTTTGCAAAGGCTTTAGGACTACATCTAGGAGAACTGCAAATGCCAGGGCAAAGTAATTCTTTCACATGCTTGCTTTTAAACCATGTATAGTATTTTAAAAGGTACACTCACCAGAGGTCCCTTCTCCGCCTGCTGTGTCCAGGAGGCAGCCTTGGGTGGGTTCGGGGGGTACTGGCTCCAGGTCTAGGGTGAGAAACAGTTCCTGGCTGTCAGGAAAACCGGTTTCTCCGCTTGCTTGCTGTGAGCTATCTACAACCTCCTCCTCATCATCATCTTCTTCGTCCCCAAAACCTGCTTCCGTATTGCCTCCATCTCCATTGAAGGAGTCAAACAACACGGCTGGGGTAGTGGTGGCTGAACCCCCTAAAATGGCATGCAGCTCATCATAGAAGCGGCATGTTTGGGGCTCTGACCCAGAGCAGCTGTTCGCCTCTCTGGTTTTCTGGTAGGCTTGCCTCAGCTCCTTCAGTTTCATGCGGCACTGCTTCGGGTCCCTGTTATGGCCTCTGTCCTTCATGCCCTGGGAGATTTTCACAAAGGTTTTGGCATTTCGAAAACTGGAACGTAGTTCTGATAGCACGGATTCCTCTCCCCAAACAGCGATCAGATCCCGTACGTCCCGTTGGGTCCATGCTGGAGCTCTTTTGCGATTCTGGGACTCCATCATGGTCACCTGTGCTGATGAGCTCTGCATGGTCACCTGCAGCTTGCCACGCTGGCCAAACAGGAAATGAGATTCAAAAGTTCGCGGTTCTTTTCCTGTCTACCTGGCCAGTGCATCTGAGTTGAGAGTGCTGTCCAGAGCGGTCACAATGGAGCACTCTGGGATAGCTCCCGGAGGCCAATACCATCGAATTGTGTCCACAGTACCCCAAATTCGAGCTGGCAACGTCGATTTAAGCGCTAATCCACTTGTCAGGGGTGGAGTAAGGAAATCGATTTTAAGAGCCCTTTAAGTCGAAATAAAGGGCTTCATTGTGTGGATGGGTGCAGGTTTACATCGATTTAACGCTGCTAAATTCGACCTAAAGTCCTAGTGTAGACCAGGGCTGAGAGTACTTTTGCCTCACATCCATATATTGGCCAGTCTCAAATAATACCTTGGATTCATATTTACTGTTCTGCCATGCTGTAACTGGAGGGGTTGTAGGAGTTGCAGATTCTCAGATCTCTTAGGAATGACTTCAGCAGTTTTTGCTGGTATCCCGGTCTCATTAGTGGTGTCCAGCTCAGGTGATCCCAGAGAATTTATTGATCTCTTTTGAGACACTGTGCCAAATGTTAACAGTGTCTCTATTACAATTCTCTCAAACAGGGGATGAAGCCAAATCCCAAAGCCATGGCAGCTGCACAGTATGTATGCAGGCTAACTTCTAGGTTGACACTGTGTCAGGAGTAAGGCTCTTAGCTATGCCTGCTTAGTACGTCTGATGCCCTAACGAACCAGCTACGCTGCCTGATGGACCACCCTGCCTAATCAGCTGAGGAACTCATCAGGCCAGTTCTTAAACCTAGCAGCAGTAGTAGCTTCTTGGCTGCTCAATGCACATGCCCACGGACTCTCTGCCACCATGTGCTAGTCTCTACAAACCCTGCTCCTGCTTTGCTCCTCCACAGATCTTGCCCTGCACCCAGCCTTGTTCCCATCCTGTTCCAGCCCTGCTCCTGCCTCAGAAGCAGCCCTGCTCCTGCCTTTCCTGACTCCTGGTAATCCTGCTCTGACCCTTGGCCTTGACTCTGATGCTGTCTCAACCCTTGGTTCTGGCATTCGGACTCTGACCACTAGGCCTAACTCCCGCTCTGACCTCTAGGCCTGACTCCCACTCTAACCACTATGCTTGACTGCCTATGACCCAGTCCACTGACACACTGTCCTTTGTTTTGAACATTGATTTACATGACTGAACTGAAACATTGAGATTTTAAGGCAATTTTGTCCAAATCTATGGGAAGCAGTGTTAGAACTCAATGTTACATTGATCCGTGATACTTTTGTAAGCAGAACCTTGGCTACACCCACAGGAATCAAAGTTAACAAGACAAACAAATGATGGATTCAATATTATTGCTCAAAACTATGTCATGCCTCTTTTTCTTGTGTTCATCCGGAGAGCTCATGGAAAATGGCAGAAAGATATTGCAGGAAACACCCATTTTAAAAAAAATGATTTCTGTATACTTTTGCAACAAATTACAATGGCCACTCATTTACTTCCTTAGCGTCAGATCCTTGTTGTGGTCTTGTCTTTTAAAATGGCAGTAGTAGGTACACTCAGGCAAACATTCTCTTGGAAAAGCGGAAGCAGCCTGCATATTCAGTGTACCTGAGGCAGACAACAAAGTGAAAGACTCAGACTTAGATCTGGACTTGGTCTTCTGCTCCCAGGTCTGAAATTCAGCAGACTAGGCACCACACAGGTACAGGATGTAGGTGCAGGATGTGCAACCCCACAGTACCCCATTTTTGGATGATACAGAATGGTACATGTGACGGGTTGGTTTATATACATATATATTTGCAAAGTGCTTTGATGTCATGTGATAAAAAGAGCTATCAAAATGCAATCTTGTAATCTAATTAGGCATCTCTTTGCTAGTAGGAAAGAAGCACCAGCATAGATGGGTGGTATGTAATTTCCCTCCATTGTTCTTCCAGTGAACGTCAACTTGAGTTGACAAAATAGCTCCCTTTTTACGGTTTCCTTCTCCCATGGCTTATAAGCCAGACCACATAGAATAAGAAGATAAAATGTGCTAAACATACTTTCCAGCATGATGGCCATCCCCTTCCAGGAACAAAGATGAGGGCCACAGATCTAATTTAAATGGTCATCTTAGCATGATCTCTTGGGACCTCTCAGTCTGAGTTTTTGATAGAGCTGCATTTTATGTTGTGCTCCGTTCATTTATTTTTCCTTACCCTTTCGTAGAGATCTCACTGGCTTGCTGGTCTGTAGCTGTGTCGACATGATGAAAAATAACATAATTTCTAGTCTAGGTTATTGTCTTCAGTTCACGGGAAATAATCAGGGAGGGTGGATGGCCCAAGCTGTTCCCTTGTGAAAAATCTGTATTAATCAGTTGTAAATGGGGGTATCTCTCTCACTTCCAGAAGCATTCTAAGAGCAGTGAGGCTGAGAAGAGTCTCCTTCATTAATACTTTCCATGTTCGTTGTTGTCGGGACATTGTCCAGTGGCTCTTTTAGCCTTGCTGTAACTGGAAGATGCCAAAGGAAACCTTTGTGTTGAGGCACTCCTCATCTGTGGGTTTCGCTGGTAAGAAGGTATGAGGAGATGGGCCTAAAAGAAAAGCATTCAAAATGGAACCATCTCTTAAAGTGCTGTCACGAAGACCCCACTTGGACTAGGATTGCCACGAGTGACAAAATACCTGTGGCAAAGGGAGGATGAAAGTGGAGAATATAGCTTTGTGAGCTGGGGTGCCCGGTGAGACCCTGGCCACAATGGTGGGTGGGGAAAAGCAGAGGCGGGGAGAGATGAGACAGAGACACTAGGACTGTGCAGGGTGTTGTTGTGAGTCAGTCTCATGCAATAATGGAGTTAAAATGGAGATCCTGAGAAAATCCTGTGAGTTGGATGATGGGAGTCTGGAGGCAGGAACCAGTGCATTAGAAAATCATAAAGGAAGCAAGTGGTAAAAGGCTACTACACAGGGGTGAAGTTGGGTGGAGGGGGGAGAGGAGAAGAGGAAGAGGTGAAAAAAAAGGGAGGGATGAAAGGATGATTGGAAGGAGGAGAAAAGGAAGAAGAACAGTAAAATGATCATTGGTTGTGGTTCTCACTTCTGGAAAATTTTTTTAAAAGTCTGCTCAAAAGGGTGAGAAATTAATTTTTGCCTTTGAAAACTTAAGAAAATAAAATAAGTTACTTTCAGTGTGATTATTTCAACCCCACTGACCACTGACTAGCACCAGTAGGAAAAGGTTATTAGAAACAAAGTTTTGCTCTGTACAGCTGAATCATGACAATAAACAGTGATTAATGAAAGTGCATGCCACTCTATGGCTAGCTCTACCTTTTACAAGGTGCTGGCTCCTAGCCCTGTCCTTACCTGGCACTTGGTATGTATCACAAAGACTGTACATATAAGTTTTTAATGCAGATGTTTGAGGAGATGTGCTGAAGCATTATGTACCAGTTTTCTAAGCATGGAAAGCTTCATGCCCAGGTCTATCACGTTGTTGTCGTCTAGCTGAGAGGTGATGAAAGTGTGCATTGTTGTGCAGTAGGGAATGGAGACTCTTAGCCAGCTGAAGATGGTGGAAAGCATTACTCACAAATGCTGCTATGGGAAAGCTTAGCATCAGTGATGTATCCAGGAGTACTCGTTAGCTATGGACTCAAGTGCTCAATTGTGGGCGTGTACTTGCAACCAAAGGAGACTGTACTATGGCTGAAAACTCTTCAAAATATTTTCCTCTAGCCACTAGCATAACCTCTCTCTTGCTTGGGTTCAACTTCAACCAACTGTTCTTCATCCATGAACTGATCTCCTACAGGCCCTGGTGGTAATGGTATGGTTGTATGTGGTGACAGTTAGGCAGAGCTGGATGCCATCTACATTTTGCTGGCACTTGAGTCCATGTCATCCCACCAGTTCACCTAGTGGCTGTATGTAGATGTTGAATAGGACCAGAGAGAGAATTGATCGTGGGAGGACTCCACACATGAGGGTTCTAGTAGTAGAGGCCATATAAGTACCATAGAGAGAGTTTGTGGGGCAGTTTCCCATCAGTACTCATTGGGCGCATTCCTCCAGGAAGAACTCAGATCATTTTCTCTGTATAGCTAGTTAGTTTCTTCTGTGGCTCTTATACACATCAACAGGGGAAAGAGAAGCATTTGAAAATGTAGGACAAGGTATGTGAAGAAAACCTGCAACTGGTTAGAAGATAGGAAACAAAAAGTGGGAATAAATGGTCAGTTTTCATAACAGAGAGGTAAAGATTAGGGTCTCCCAAGGACCTGTGCTGTTCAACATATTCATTAATGGTCTGGAAAAGGGTATGAACAGGGAAGTGGCAAAGTTTTCAGATGATACAAAATTATTCAAAATAGTTAAGTGCAAAGCTGACTGTGAAGAGTTACAGAGGGATCTCACAAAACTGGGTAATTAGGCAACAAAATGGCAGATTAAATTCAGCATTGATAAGTGTAAAGTAATGCATACTGGAAAAAATAATCCCATCTATATATATGTAATGATCGGTTCTAAATGAACTGTTATGACTCAAGAAAGAGTTCCTGGAGTCACCATGGATAGTTGTCTGAAAACTTCAGCTCAATCCAAAGCAATGATCAAAAAGGCTAAGAATGTTAGACACTATTAGGAAAGGGATAGAAAATAAGACGGAAAACATCATAATACAACTATATAAATCAGAGATCTCAAACTCAAATCACCATGTGGGCCACATGAGAACTAGTACATTGGCCTGAGGGCCGCATCAGTGAAACCTTTTCATATAACGATACAAAAACTATAGTCAAAAATGAAAAAATGAAGAGTAGTATAGTATGCTATTAAAAGTCAATGTATTAACTTTTTTAAAAATGTATTGCGAAAAGTCAGTGCTAATTTTGACAGTCATTTCATTTTTGGCCACTTAGCTGGCAGCGTTTTGCATCAACCTAGTCCATCAATATTAGGTTTGATATCCTGAGATGAAATCAATCTCAGTGTTGCTTGCAAATGTTCATCGGTGAGCCTTGACCTTAGCACAGATTTGTTAATCTTCATGGAAGAGAGAAACTGTTAACATATATATGTACTTCCAAACGTTGCCATTACCCTTGCGGAAGCAGAGAATAACATGGGAAATCTTTCTTGTGAAAGAAACCAGTAGAATTCTGGAATTCCAACTTCTGTATACTTCTGCTTCAAAATGGTATCACACTGAAGCTCCACTAACTCCATTTGCATTTCCTCTGCAACGTTGTCAATATCCACAGCAAATGGTGTGGAAAAAAGTTGAAAATGTGATTCAAGTGCCTTGAAATCTTTAAACTGCACATCAAACTGT